GCTGTATTTCAACAGTCGTTCTTCCAGGACTGGATTCATGTCTGCTTGATAAGCAATCACCGCTCTAGAGTTTGTCACTAAGGTCACTCTTCTACGGTAGTAATTAACAATTGCACCATATTTTGACAACTAATCCATTCTGAATACCACGTCAAACAGACTCATCAGAAGGATTATCAGGTCAGCTCTCAATCGCTCACCTCCAATCGTGATTTCACACGATTTGCATACACTAGCTACCTCCACACATCCCAGTAGGGAGTTCAACATCATTGGGGTTTCCAAGCTCTCGGATTTCAATTTCAAAGTTTGAACAAAAGAACTTGAAATGAAAGAATGAGTAGCACCAGTATCGAACAGTACATGTGCAAATGAATGAGAGATTATAATCATACCCTTAACCACCGTGTTACTAGCCTGGCCTCCAAAACTGCCTCTTGTCAGGGTACACGCTTGTCCATGCGCTTTTTATTTTCCTTTATCACCAATATTGGGCCGTTGTGTCCATGACCTATATTGTTGCGGTGGAGGTATCTGCACCGGTCCCGGCACCTGAGGCCGAAACTGTGAATATTGAGGCGGACGGTGGGTTGGCACAGGAGGGTATGGTATCGACAGTTGCGGCTGATAAGGTGGCACAAATTGCGGTGGTCTTCCTTGACCAGAAGAAGCCTCACTCTGAGATGGCTGAGTCGGCGGCTGATTCTGATTTGGAAAGTTCCTCCTAATGTGGCCAACTTGCCCATAATAATGACACTTGGGACTGTAGGGACCACTCGTGTCACTTCCAAAGGAACTACTGCCACCACTGATCATTTTCCCGCTAATCTGTCCCTGATTGCAGTTTCTTTTACCACTCTGCTGTGGCCCCCCTCTGAAGCAGAAACTTGACCAGCTGCTTCCTTACTCTGCTGATATGCCAGATTGTCTTATTCCACGCTTGTAGCAGCAGCCACCAGGTCTCGAAAATTTCGGATCCTTAAAGCCATTAAGGGTCTCCTTACAGAATTCTTGAGACCCTTCTCAAATTTCAAGCATTGCAAATGCTCAGACTCCACAAGAGATGGCGCAAAGTGGGACAAATCATTGAATTTCACCTCATACTCCCTCACCGACATGTCACCTTGAAGCAAGGACATAAATTCCATCACTTTTTTATCCCGGTAACTCTGAGGGAAGTATTGCTCATTAAAGAGAACTTCAAACTATTCCCAAGTCATTCCTGAAACATCAAGCCTTCTTCTCACTTGCTTCCACCATGTGCTTGCTTGACCTTCCATCTTATACACCGCGAATTCGAATCAAACCAGTACTCTGCTTCCTAGGGTCATCCTTCACTATTGAACGTGGGGATTGGAGCACGTCTAAATTCTCAAAAATGACCTGCTTCCTATCCTCGGCCGGTCACTTATTCTGATCTCGAGTGGCCATTCCTTGGAAAGTAGCATACATGGCATCCACGAACTCCTGGTTCTGTGGTGCTAGATTGTTAACTGACCTACGACGACGCGGCGGCATTTCCTTTATCTGAAAAGAAACTAGACTATTCAGTAGATTCCTGATGTCACACATGTATGTACAATCCTGTGGATTCTTAACCTAGGGCTCTTATACCACTCTGTCACACCCCGAAGCAGGGGTCGGTGACGTGGAGCTCGATTAGGGGTTAAACGCATGACAATAAAGGAAATTTCCAACGAGCCCCACACTTAATTAAAATAAATCGCAAGGGAGAGACTAAAACTCAAGCCTCACACACTATACTAAACACAGGATCTATCCATAGGATCTCTTTACCGTACATACATGACATGTAAATAAATCATTACATCACAGACATCATTCACAGTCTAGTAATTCAAATATCAGAGCTTATAAATCCTTACATATTTTCAAGAGAATGAACACAATCCTCACTTGATCGAACAGTAGCAAGTAATCCAGCTACTCAGCACCGCTCCTAGAGTCGCCTGAGAGGGGTTCAATACATTTAAAACATAGAAACGTGAGCGAAAGGCCCAGTATGATATAATTTGAAATAACTTTATAAATAAATGAATAAATAAATGAGTGAGTAAATAAATAAATGGATAAGTAAATAAAATAAGACATTCAGTCCTGACACAACACTCGGAACCTCACATCCTTTTTCTCAAGAAAATATATATATGAAAATATATCTGTATTACAGGCATCAGCAAGTAATTCATACTAAGATAAATTACTTACACAACCACGTGCACAAGCCATACCCCCGGGGTTTCGGGTCCTGCCCCCAAGGATGCACTCTCTACATCCTATCTTGGCCATCAACCAGTTTACTAGTTCGCAAGATCTCTTATTTTAAGAAATCATTCATTAAACTTTACGAAATCGTTTGTTATAAACTCATGAACTACACAAGCCATGAGTCCCATGAACTTCAACAAGCCATGGTCCCATGTACTATAACAAGCCATGGGTACCATGAACTACACAAGCCATGGATTTTAAATACTTTTCTTTCGCAAACAAGCCCCTTTCTTTAAAACATTTGCAAGGCCAAAATCCTTTTGAAAACATGCTCACAAGAAAAGAGATAGAAATCCTGCCTTGTAATTATCAAACCTGTGGCTAGCGGCGCACTATTCCGGCTTCTGCTTCCTCAAGCTACTCAATCCGAGTCCTCAGCTAACATTGATACAAGACAATACTTTAGGATTAAATTCTCATTCCTAAAGTAATTCAATTTCAATCATATCCTTTGATTTTCTATTAGTGAGCCCTAATCAATTTTCAAGTTTCAAATCATCATTCCAAGGGTTTTCAATCTCAAAACATGGATTAAAGATGCTAATCCATCTACTCTAGGTCCCCAAATGAAGTTATTTTGGGTCCTCCTCGAAAACAGAGGTCAAAACAACATTTTCAGGCCAAACGAGGTCAAACCCTGTGTACACTGGTCGACCAGTGACAGAGTAGTGCAACACCACCGGTCGATTGGTGGTGTGCAATCCGGTCGACCGGTCAGGCCAATGCAATCCGGTCGACCGCACAGGTCGACCGGTGAAGAACGCCCCAGTGTGAGAAAACTCACAAAATCAGTCTGAAAACCTGCAAATTCAGTCCCAAATAAAGATATCTCAAGGGACAACCACTAGATCCGGGTTCTAGGCACTAAATCAAGTTCAAAGAACCCAAGATCTCCAATTTCTACCCTAGTTTTACTCAAAATCCACCAAAATCAGTTTTGAACCAAAATAAGTTTTAAAATCTGAAAACTTGAGATTCAAGAGAGGTTCTTTCAGTAATCTTACCTCGAATCCTTCTCTTGATGTTGAAAACTCTTTGAAATTCCTCTTTGGTTCGAGATCCGGTTTTGATTTGAGGCAAAATGGGAGATTTTTGAACAGGAGTGGGAGAGAGAGAGAGAGTGAGAGTGAGAGAGAGAAAGAGAGAGTGCACGGGAAGGAGAGAGGAAAAAGGAAAGGAAGGGAAAAGAAAAGAAAAAGGAAAAAGAAAAAAAGGACAAGTGTCATAAAATTTAAAATGACAGTCCAGAAATGCGCCCATACACACTTCTGGGTTAAAATAAAATTACTGAGAATATTTAAATACCTTAGAATTATTTAAATTACATGTCAGAAACATTTATTAATTAATTCAGATTAGGCACACTAATAAATCTCAATTACCTTAATTAATCACATTTAATTCTCCGGGGTATTACAATTATAAATGATATAATTTAAGGAAAATTTTTGTAATTAAACTAAATTTTTATTAGTCCACACAAATATGTTATTTGTCTCATTCTCCCATTATTATTTGCCACGTCATCCCCTTTGAAGTAATTATAAAAAATGAGCATTTTTAAACTCTCTATTAAGAGTGTTTTTAATTAATAAGATTGTCAATCTATCCATTTGTATAGTTATTGAAATAGTATTTTTGAATGGGCGGTCATGAATTTTATATAACTAATTTTAAAGATAGTAAGCAAAAGATATAAATATCATTACAGGTAATTTCATAGACTTATACCTAAATATCACAACTTGTGAACATTCGTTTTTTCGTGTGTTGTATGATAGATATATATCTAATCAACCCCAGAAATGTAATTATCCCCCTCCTTTTTTTCATTGGTTGCAAGACTCACTCCTAGCCCATATATTATTCTCTACTTCTCTGGCCCAAATGTGTGCAATTATTTCAACACTCAATGCAAAGTCCCCAACTTCCGAAAGAGTCAAAACCTCAGCCCAAAAAACATCAACCCCTCTTCTTCTTCATTCACACTCCCAACTCCAAAGCAACCGCAAACAAACCCTAACAACTCTCAAACTCAAAGCACAAAAATAAAAATAAAAATAAAAAATGAAAAAAATAAAAATAAAATAAAAATAAAAAAAATAAAAAATGGATCCCACGTAGGGGCTATGGCCAATCTAAGCCTGTTTGGCACCCCAAACGAGTCAATGTTCTTCTGCCCCCCACCCCCAACATTTGTCACCGACCTTATTACAAACGCCAACTCTACCTTCCTTTATTTTATTCCTTTTTTTCTTCCTTATTATTCTTTGGCCGCCCCAAATATATTTTCTTATAAGAAAAAATATAATAAATTTTTTTAATTCAATTCCCTTCATTTTGCTTGTAACTGCCATGATGAATCTTCAATCTGATTTTAATTTTTGTTCTTCTTGGAAAATATGATCTCAATTCATTCATGTAGATGTACTTCTCTTTCTTCAAAAAGCCCCACAATTACAAGAAGGATTGAAGGAATAACATATATAGTTGAGAAGGAAAAAAAAAAAAAAAGAAGAAAAGAGAATTATTAACATTTTATTTGTCAAATATTAATAAAAGTAAAATGAAATGAAATTAAAAAATAAAATAAGAGAATTATTAACATTTTATTTGTCAAATATTAATAAAAGTAAAATTAAAAGAAATTAAAAAAATAAAATAAGATTTTTCTTTTTTGGGTTCCGCCTTTGTTCTCTTTTCTCCTTTCTCTCTGTGCTGCTCCTTCGACCTATCTATATTTCTCTCTCTTTAGAATCTCAGGGCTTCCTTTGGCCATTGAAAAATCTCTCTCCGCTCTTCTTTTCCAGGTCCGTATCGCCATTCGATCTGTTCGATGCTCTCTCTCTCTCTTTCTCTCTATCGCTTTTTTTTTTGTATTAATTTTTTTTCCTCTCTCTTTTGGATTGCCTTCTCTCCATTTCATAGGGTTTGGTTTTTTGATAGTGGGTTTTGGGGGTTTGTCTGCCACCGATCTTAGTTTTTCTTTGTTCAATTATTACGGGTCTTACTTACGCCCTTTGTACTGAGATATTGAGTTTTCCGCGATACTCGCTTAGATTTTGTTAATTTGTTTCGGTTTTGAAATTTCAATCTGATGGATTTTTTTTTCTTTTTCATTTCATTTTGGGGTTATTTTTACTGGGGTTTTCGTTTAAGGATTTTTATACCAAATCAGATTTTGTCCGAGATAATAGGGGGCCAAAAAAAATGAAGTTTTGTTTTGTTTTTTCCTTCTTATTTTCTATTTCGTTTGAGTTCGAGTGATGAAAAATTAATCAATAAACTTTACTAGGATCAGTTCAATGGATTCCCAAGTAATTCCTCAAGTTAGCGAGGAATTGAATTATAAAATGTCATATATTGTTTTCCTTACTACGTTTATCCAACAATCAAACAGTAGGATTCTCAAATTGGGTTATCTTCAGATTGCCCAACTTTGTCTGAATAATGCATTTTTCAGGGAAAAATGTGAGGCTTTACCAACTTAGTGTTAATTTATTTTTGTAGGCGAATTTTTATTTATTCAGCGGCGAAATAAGGGGAAGGAACGGCGGGGAAGAAGTTTTCGGGGGTGTGAAATGGCCGGGACTGCTGGTGAGGAATCTGGAGCGGGAAGGTCGATGGAGGGGGTTTCGGGTGGGCAGCGTTGCCAGTCGGGGGAGTTGGCGGAATGGCGGTCTTTGGAGCAGGTGGAGAATGGGACTCCGTCTACTTCGCCGCCGTATTGGGATACGGATGATGATGATGATGGTGGTATGGTATTTGTCTTCATGTATTTCGCATTACACAGTTTTTCTTTTTTCTTTGGACTGAGTAGGTTTGTATTTCTTTATTCAATAAAGTGCCTAGCTTGGGGCGATGTTAATATCTCTGACGTACAGTGGTTCTTAGGATTGAATCACGGAATGAAGCGGGGAACGATTTTAGGCTAGTTCTTCAGGTTTTTGGAATGAAAAGATTGCTGTGCCTAACCACAAGGTGCTGGCTCTGTGTTGAATCACTTTGACTTAGTGCCTCAGGAAGCATTAGGTCTGAGGTACTCATGGTGCGGGCCAGAGGCCTGAGATATACCCATCCATGTGGAGGGGCGCTTTGCATGGATTAGTTGGGGCAAAGTCCTGGACACCATGGTTATTAAAAAAATAAAAAATAAAAAAAAAGAAATTGTTGTGCCTGTATCATGTATTCTGCACTTACTGTGTACTCATGGTGTCGAGAGAACAAGAGACGATTGATTGTGGAATACCAGATGAATTGTGAAGATTTTATCTGTTAATGACTAGCTGCGTGCAAGCTATTTAAGTGCAAACCATGGACTTAAACTTCTTTAAACTTCTATGCTTGCTTTATGCAACCTACAGTTTGTTGTGGTATACTGTACATCAATCTAGCAGCTAGTGTTTTAAGTACTTCGCAGTGAAATGATTTTGCTAATGCTATTTAATTCTTTGATTATTTTAGTTGCTAGTATTGAAAGCTCTTTCTTTACCATATCTCTGTTGTTATAGACATGACCATCATTTTCTTAAATTTATCATGTATAAGCGTGTGTATAATCTCATCGTTTCATTTGGAAGAAGTAGAATTGCTTTACATTGCATTTTTTAATCTCCCCCCCAACCCACCCTCTCCAATGTGCTTAATTTTTGATTCCCTTGTCTACTTCTCTGTTTAATTCAGATATGAGGTGGTACGTTGCTTACAGATTAGTTTACTTGTCTATAGGGCCTAAGCCATCCGAGTTGTATGGAAAATATACGTGGAAGATCGAGAAGTTTTCTCAGATTAACAAAAGGGAACTTCGTAGTAATGCATTCGAGGTTGGCGGCTACAAATGGTATGGGTCTATGAAGTTGACACTTTTTATTAGTAATTTTTGTCTTGCATTATTTTTTTCATTGATTTTTAATGGTTTCACATACCATTTTATGTATTACAATGAAAATTGTTGCATGGTGCATGCAAAAAGTCTCATCAGCTATTGGACAATGATAATGGCGTCTATTATTTCCTCCCGTGTTTATTGTTGTTCTCATGTTGTAGGAATGGCTTAGAATGTGTTTAGCTTACAAAAACTCATATAATATGGAAAATTGCTACGAATTAGTTTTTTAAGTCTTTTGACCTAAGCGCTTGGTGTCGGCTCGCAGGTACATCTTGATCTATCCTCAGGGTTGTGATGTTTGCAATCATCTCTCTTTGTTTCTTTGTGTTGCCAATCATGACAAACTTCTTCCAGGTTAGATAATTAAAAACTTGGTTTGATTTAATGATAATGATATTTCCTTGCTGATGCAGTTATGTAATTTGTTAAAGTTTTTGTGAATCAGGTTGGAGTCATTTTGCCCAGTTTACTATAGCTGTGGTAAATAAAGATCCCAAGAAATCAAAATATTCGGGTTGGTTGGTCAATCATTAAATTGTTTAGGTGGTGTTTTCAACATGTTAAGCAAGGAGGCTTGACCAAGTGCAAATTTTGCAGATACGTTACATCGATTCTGGAAGAAAGAACATGACTGGGGATGGAAAAAATTTATGGAGCTGTCAAAAGTGTTGGAAGGGTTTATTGATGCCGACACACTTATAATAAAGGCTCAAGTTCAAGTCATCAGGTGTTTCATCACTATAACTTTATGTGGCCCTGTCGTTATGGCCAATGTATTGCATGTTTGAAGTAGTTATCTCTGGTTAACTTTGTCCTGAATGTGTAAAACTTAGACTGGTATTACCTTTTCTACGTACCTTTTGATTTTGGCTTTAGAGTGTGTTCAAGAAAATTTCTGTTACTTCTCATTGGTATGCATGGGTTGATTATGTGTATTCTTCGCATATGGTTTTGTAGGGAGAGAGCAGATCGTCCATTCCGTTGCCTTGATTGCCAATATAGGAGAGAACTTGTTAGAGTATACCTGACAAATGTAGAGCAAATTTGCCGCCGTTTTGTGGAGGAGAGAAGAGGCAAACTTGGAAAATTGATTGAGGATAAAGCAAGGTGGTCAAGGTATTGTATTATGCTGTGTCTAACATTTATTGTCTGTCGAATTTAGAACATTCGCTGTTTGTTTTCGTTACCCAGCATATATCAAATCTAAGAGACAAGATGTTCAAAAGGCTTATATTTTAATGGTTCAGTTGGGAATTTTTACTTTGTAGATCTTCTATTTAATAATACAGTTCGCAATGGTGTTGCAGTTTTTGTGCTTTCTGGTTGGGAATTGACCAAAATGCTAAGCGCCGTATGTCAAGGGAGAAGACCGATGCAATTCTGAAAGTTGTTGTTAAACACTTTTTTATTGAGAAAGAAGTCACGTCTACATTGGTAATGGACTCATTGTATAGTGGACTAAAGGCTCTTGAAGGCCAGACTAAGGGCAAAAAAAATAGGGTGAAATTGCTAGATGCTGAAGAAGTGCCAGCGCCGATTGTTCGTGTTGAGAAAGATACGTTTGTTTTGGAGGAGGATGTTGTATTGTTACTTGAAAGGGCTGCCATGGAACCATTACCTCCTAAAGATGAAAAGGGTCCTCAGAACCGTACCAAGGTTGGTTCAAAGTAGTTGTTGTTCACAAGGAACTTATTTTCTGTAATTGTCTATTCTACTAGTGTTTCAGTATATCATTTTCATTGATGGGTTAAACAATGAGAGATGATTCTCTCCCTTTCCCAACCTTTGCCAAGATGGGAGTCGAAGGTCCTTGGATTTAATGCTGATAAACTTTTCTAACTCATCTAGCTACCTAGTTGTTTAGTATATAATGCATTTAAATTTTCTGTTATTATGTGTTTCTGTTTGTCTTAAAATAGGAGTGTGGGAGAGTCTTAAGAGTATAATGTCTTTGATGATTTTAATTCCTTATCAGGATGGGAACTCTGGGGAGGACTTCAACAAAGATTCTATCGAGCGTGATGAAAGGCGCCTTACAGAATTGGGTCGTAGGACTGTGGAGATATTTGTCCTTGCCCATATTTTCAGGTATTGTGTTTTAAAATGAAAATGTGTTTATTTCTTCATTACCCTTAAGTAATGTTTTCCTTAGCCGTCTGCAGATTGTCCTTCACTTTCACATAGATTTAAGCACTCTTCGCTCTTGCTCTCTCTTAGTTACCTTCCTTTCTTATTAGGAGTTACCTCTATGCAAAACTTTGCTATCATCTAGGCAATAGGAGTGCCATTTAAGGAGGCAATTTTAGTTTCTTTACCATGGCAAATGGTTTCTTGCAGTATGGGCTTTTGCCAAAATATTTTTTACCATAATAGTTGTGCATTGCTAACATTTGGTTCATTATTTATTACTTCTTTGTCCACCTCCATTAATGGAATCTGCCTTGGTGAAAGATTCTGGCTGATACCTTTTCATTGTGTTATTTTGTTATAGAATCCTAGTAATGCTTATTCTTACTGTTAGATGGTATAATTATTTTCCTAATTCATGCAGCAACAAAATTGAAGTTGCCTACCAGGAAGCTGTTGCACTGAAGAGGCAAGAGGAGCTCATCCGTGAAGAAGAGGCTGCATGGCTAGCTGAATGTGAACTTAAGGCAAAGCGTAGTGAAAAAGAGAAGAAATCAAAGAAAAAACAGGTTTATAACTTTTTTTCTTTTATAAATTTTGACAGCTCAAGGTAGTTCAAAATAAAAGGAATGGAAGAAGCAAAAATTTTATTTTTATTATGAGAACATTGTTAGATTTCACTCAGAACTTTCTCGCTATTGTGTAGATTGGTTTTGTACCTTGTCAAGATGGTTCAATTTTTTTTTTTTTTTATTTCTTCTCCCTTTGTTCTTATTTCTCATTCTGATGTTTATACAGGGTAAACAGAAACGCAACAAAAAAGGGAAGGATAAAGGAAAGGAGGAACGGCCTAGCATCGTGGTTCAGGACAAACATCAACAAGAAAACCTTATTGATGAAAGAAAAGGGTCCATGAGAGAGGATTTGCAACCTGTCCTTGAGAAGCCTGATACACCTGAAGATGTATCCGATGTTTCTGATTCAGTAGATGGTATTGCAGAAGCCCAGCCTGATTCAGAAGACAGAGATGCTAGTCCAATCAACTGGGATACTGACACATCAGAAGTTCAACCCTCCATAGAAGCTAGTAGCAGTGGACTATCTTCTGGGCAAAATGGAATTTCTGATAAAAAGAGCCCATCTTTTATGGATGATAGTTCGTCAACATGTTCCACAGATTCAGTCCCATCGGTCGTAATGACTGCGCCTTACAAGGGAAGCTCGTATGCCAAGAATCAAAAATCACCTAGCAGGTAACATGTTTAGCCTGCATTTCCTTTTGGGCTACTGGATGGAAATTTATGGGATGGTATTGATTTGGCATGTAACTTGCAGGGGAAAGAACCAACGAGGAAAGGTATCATCGGATGGCACTAGTTGGGCAAATGAGACAGATAATCAGCCTTTTGGGCCTGCAACTGATGCAGTGGACATGAATGGCGTTTCTGGTTGTAGTAAGACTGGTGAATCCGAGTCTGAGGCTGTTGTTAGCTCCTTGCAGGACCGCATAAAATGGCTTGAGCAGCATGTGGTTAAAAAGGTGGATCCTTGTTCTTGTTTTGTTTTTTTATGTTTTGGGTGCCCCAATATCAATATGCACTGTCAATTTCTCCATTGGGCTTTTTTTGTCTGAATTCTACAGCATCTCCTAAGTTTGCAAAAGTGGCACATATGACTTGCAAGTACATTATAGGCTGAGCATCTCTTTGTTTATCTAGACCTATTGAACTCCACCAGCGTGATCGGCGTGCAACTTCTGTGACCTTTTGCATTTGCAATTGATATACGTAATGTACACATGCATACATTCATATATAATATCTTTGTGTACATCCATAGTCCTTAGACAATACGTGGTTATGAACTTGTGATCTTGTGGTCTACTATTATTTGGCTGATTATTATCTCTTTTGTTTGCTGAAGCCCTATTTATATAATACGTTTTGAATCTCTTTCTTTGTTAATGTTGACGGGAGATTTGTTTTCCCTTGTGTAATAGGACGAAGAAGTACTTTCACTGCAGAAAAAGTTGACTGTCAAAGATCAGGTTGAGACAGAAAGATCCACTAAAGAGAAGACACCACCACCACCACCACCACCACCACCAACGTGCTCTCCTAGTAGCCCTACTAAAAGTCTACCATCAACAATTCAACCAAAGTCCGAGTTCCAGAATAGTGCCAGTGTGGATTCTGTTCAAGTTAGGAAAGTGTCCTTAAATAGCCCTCAACAGGTTGATAGAACATCACCTTTGCTAACTTCATCCCAGCCCACTGTCATGTCCAAACCGGAGACTCAGAAGGCTGCAACTCCAAAATTGGCTGAAAAAGCCATGGCGCAACAGGTGCCTGTGATGTCGCGACCATCTAGCGCTCCTTTAATTCCTGGTCCTAGGCCAACGGCTCCGGTTGTTTCCATGGTTCAAACATCTCCCTTACTTGCCCGTTCGGTGAGTGCAGCTGGCCGGTTGGGTCCCGACCCCTCTCCAGCAACCCATAGTTACATACCTCAGTCATATAGAAATGCCATGATGGGTAACCATGTTTCTTTGAGTTCAGCTGGCTTCACCAACTCTATCCCTCCAAGTTCATCAGGGAGCCAATCTTCAGCATACTCACAGCCACCTCCTTTGGCATCTGCCCCAATGTTCATCCCACAGAGCTCCGAAAGGGTGGACCCAGGTACTATCAAGTCAGGCTTTCCTTTCGGCATGGTGACAAGGGATGGATTACACAATGGAACGCAATGGATGGAGAGTTCTCAAAGGGAAACCAAGAAAAGAATGAACTATGATCCTCCTTTGCTGCATAATGACCTTCAGAACCTTGACTTATACAAGCCTGTGATGGGTGGATCACGGGATCATTTGTCCGCAGACTTCCCTGCCTGTACGTCTGGACGCCAGACGCAAGGGTTGTCAGCAGCAGATGAGTTCCCACACCTGGATATTATCAATGACCTGCTTGATGATGAGCACGGTGTCGGAAAGGCATCCATTGTAAGCTCAGGTTTTGAGCCCCTAAGCAATGGGCCAAACCCCTTAATTCGGCAGTTCTCATTTCCCGGCGAATTGAGTGTAGCTGATAATGTGGGATCCTCTACTAGTTCTTGTAGGTTTGAGCGAACACGTAGTTATCATGATGAACGATACCATAGGAGATATAGTGCTCCAGGAAGCCACTATGAACCGGTTAGGGAATTCGTTCCACAGACTAACCCTCTACCTTATGTAAATGGGCAGATTGATGGCTTGATTCAAAACCAGTGGCAGATGCAAGGTTCTGATATGTCTTTAGTTGTAATGAGGAACGCAGAACATGACGGTTATGTTAGGAATAGTGTCCTAGAAGTATGAGATGTAATAGGATATTTATTATTTAATTAATAAAAGAGTTTATTCATCATTTTATGTGCATATATTTATGAATATTTTATGGAATGCCGGAGTTTGCCCATAAATTAACGGGTTGTTGTCAGTTGTAATAATGTACTACAGGAAATTGTTGGTTCTCATAGATTTGGAGTGAGGTTGTAAGCTTTTCACAAGAAAACATTTTGTAAAGAGTGTTTCTTTGTTTCCAGCCATTTCTTATAAGTTGCTAGAAAATGTGGCTTTGTTTGTCCCTGGGTTTTCGGCGAATGGTTGAAAAGGGCATGGTTAAAATAGAACGGCTATACTTTTAGCCGCAATTTGCGGCTGCGGTTTCTCCTTTGCTTCCATTTGATGCTGCTTGGTGCAGGTCCCGACCTTGCTACTTTGCCATGCACCAAAATAAGTCTGTTGTATACCTCAAAGCTCTAGTATAAATTCATTCAAGTAATTAGATAAACTGTCTAATTTTGGAACAAGTTTAAAATCTCTCCTTTGTCTTAATATTATGATTATATTAATCAATGCAATCTTCAACTAGGCGGCGGTCAAAATATAAAGCTTCTGATTTTGTGAGTGTACAAAGTGACTTTAATGCTCGAAGATGTATTTCTATGATCTCCCCATCCACAAATGAAAATACCCGTACAAAATTTATAAGGAGCTGGTCACCATCAAAATCCATGGCGTCAAGGTCACAACTAGCGCCGCACAGGGGAGCGAGGCCCGTCGGCAGTGAACACACAGGGTGACGACGCTATATAGTAGTTGTATGTGAGTGCTCTTATTTTAATTTGGTACTCCTATATGTTTTTTGATCGGTAGATTTTGATCAAATGATCTTAATTAGCATACTCTATCAGTAAGGAATTTTGACTCAACCTATTCCCAAAAAATAAATGAAACATAGGAAACACATGACATGTCCTCATGAACGATCAAGTGAATTGTTTATTTAATTATTTCTTTTCCATAGGAAAAGATGCTGATTGGTAGGACTATGACATATATTTATTATCTTTGCTTTCTCAGTAGGAATATTTGAAAGTGACTCTTTGCTTATTCAAAAAAAAGAAAAAAAAAAAGAAAGTAACTCTTTTTAGGTGTTTTAGGTGACTATGTGTACATTCTCTTGAAGTTATTTGCAAGGTTGTTGAGCATTTATAATACTTATCCATTAAGCTTGAATCAGCAACTCTATTTCGAGTGATTTCTCAAACTAATATTCTATATTTTCTTTGTTATTTTTATTGCTCTTTGTTAAACATTAATAAACTATTAGTTATTTTCCCTACTTCTCTTGTGCAAGGTGGATCCCACAGAAAGTGACAAACTATTACTTATTTCACTCACCAATTTCTACTTAAATTACTCTGACGAATTTTTACATTTGCTTTGCCCTTTTAAATATTTTCCTATATGCTATATATTATTTAGATGTAACACGCGGCTTGGAGATTCTGAATAAATAAATAAATAAATATATATATATAAGGAAGTAAAAGATTAAAATTTTCATGTCCAAATCAAATGTAATAATCTTAATTAGTATGCAGTGGCTTCATGTTGTTTCTCACATTTTGTTCTTTATAAAAATTTTGTTTTTGCAGCAACTACAAGGGAAAAGACGATTTTTTTTTTATTCCCTTATTACACAAAACTAGTAGAATTTACAGCAATACATACATAGTCTTAAAATATGTATGTATATAAGTGATTTTAATGGTTACTATATTCACTTATTACACAAAACTAATTACAACAGTACATAGTCTTGAAATATATATATATTGATCATGGTTGCAACTATTGAGTAGTTGATAAAAATGTGTATCGATTAACTAGATTGGATTTTTTATCATGTCATATTATTAAATTTTTATATTTAATGCATAACTAATGATTAAAAAGTAACCTTTGAAAACTAACTTAAAACAAGGGCCAATGTGGAGTCAAATTATTTGCTCGAATAGAAACGAATACTTAAAAACTTACAACGCCGGCCTCTTCATGTCTGTTGAATATCTTGGATTTCACATGCTCGTTATTTTCCTTCTTACAACGTCGTTTGGGGCTGGAAACTGGAAAGTGAATATTGTCCTTTAACACACAATTTTCTAACCATATGAAATGGTACAAAATTGATTTTCCCATCCAATATGTGGGCAAATGCGAACAACTTAACTTCAAATCCGTTGAACAAGTGACTAGGAGGCTCTATATTTTTGCCATGTCAAATATAATTTTGACTATTAATTTTGACTATACATGTGGTGGCAAGGATGACTTTGGCCGTAACTAGGTTTGAATTTTAGTTGTAACGTATACGCATATATCACAAGTATAAATGCATACAAAGTAATGGTGGCTTCAGTGTCAAGAAATTTCTTCACACTAGCTAAATAAATTCCTATAACTTATCCTGATTAGAAGGTAATATATTTAAGTGTGGAAAACCTTTGTATACCGGTTCAAACTTTCCCTCTTGTCCTTGCTTATTGATTCATTCAAGCTTGTTGAATATTTAATATTATATATATACATATATATATATATAGATGAAAAGAAAATTAAGAAAAAACCAAAACGCAACAGTCAACAGTCAAATTCTAACAACATAAAATATATATACAGCTGAGAAAGGATACAATAAAAATATGGTATCACCACACCCCTATAAATACTATAACTACTCCTCGCATGAACTAATTGTTCATATACTTTGTTCAGCTAACTAATTTTTGATACTAGGTACGTATTTCTATCATGGGGCTTCTAAACATAGCTTTGGCAATTCTGCTTCTTCTTGTTCTTGTACATTCGGAACAAAGCAGTGCTAGTAGGGTACTGAATGATCACAAGGAAGGGCTAGTAAAGGAGGAGAAATTAGGGTTAGGGTTTCAGTCCCTACCGAGGGGTCCGGTCCCTCCATCTGGACCGTCCGGTTGCACCTACATCCCCGGGAGTGGAGGACCGAACTGTCCGCTCGGTGAGAAGCACTACGCCGGCGATCATGCCACCGTTTATCCTCTTCCTATGGTCCGGCTTGGTGTGGCTGCTAGTAGAGATTAAACTCACAATCATATTCTTTGGTGATCATTATATCAACTCGGAAGTTTAATCTTGGCCCTAGCTAATTGTATTTGTATTGTATAGGCCATTACAATAGTTGATCAACAATTTTTGATATTATTTTTTCCCGTTGTTTATTTGGCTACGTACATCCTTTTTGTACATTAATCTAATGTATTCTTTATCTCTCACCCTTAAGATCTGATGGTCAGTTTTTCTCTTTTGGGTAAGAGAAAGCTCGTAATTTCATATTCCTGAAACTTAATGTTGTCCAATTCATATATTTCTAGACAACTTTTCTTTTTTTGGACTGGTTTATAGCATATATATATATATATATATATATATCTATTTTAGTGCGTGATCTAAAGCTCCTTTCCTTCTTTTTTCTTTTTCTTCCTATTTGTAACAGAGATATCTACAGTCCCATATATATAATGATTATATTATATATATAGACCGGATGGTTTTCAATTTAGTTACGTGACTTTTCCTTATCGTCATCGATTAATATAAGTCAGTTGTGTCTTATGTCTTTAATAAATGCATCTTATGGCATTAGGAAAATTATATATACATGCATGTATTCATGTCTCTATACTAAGATTTAATTCACATATGTAAAAGGTTGTTTTAAGGAGAACGGAAACGATTTTGATTTATATACCAAGGTGGGAAACTTTATTTTGACCGGAACTAGTCAAATTATTCGAGCTACCAAATTAGCATTTGAATATCTACGAAAATGGACTCTTTTCTTTTTAATTTCTTCTTTCAATATTTATATATATATAACATCATGTTAAGTGTGTAAGCTTAATTCTTAAATTTGCATGTGTTCTGCCTGGACTGGTTGCCCTCATCTGTAATTAATTAATGCACCACCATCAACAATGAGATAACGATCATTTATATCATTCCCGACATTTATAGCATTTTTATAGCATTTATATCATTTGCATGCATGTATTCATGTCTCAAATTATCATTTTTTTGGGTTATTAGCAATGTTAATTCTTCAATCATGAGCATCTACTACTAATTTGGTCCTTGAACTTTTTTATTTTGATAAAAGTTATTGAACAGTGCTATTTGACGCGACTCGTGAATCCCATGATTCAAGTGCCTCCATATAATAGTGCCACGTATGAGGACCACAAACCACGTGGAAACCAGAAAAAAAACACAACTTTATTTTTTTATGACGTTCGATAAAAAAAGTAATAAATAAAGAGTGAGTTTTTTTTTTTTTTTGGTGTTTATTCTTTATTTTTTTAGCCGTTAAATTTAATTAAAATCACATTAGATTAAAAAAAAAAATAAAACAGACAGATTTTGATACAGATCTAACAGCTAAAAAATAACAAGTACTGATGTTCTAAAAAAAAGAGAACACTAAGGCCTTGTTCAATTTGCTGATTCGAGTTTTCAATTCGAGCTGAGATATGATTTTAGGGAGAAAGAGGGAAATATGCCAAGACTTGGGATGAATTAAAATTAATAGGCCAATAGTTTACATAAGTTAATAAATAGGCCAAATTACTGTTTTCATCCATAACTTGTCTGGTTATGAACCATAACTTGACAAGTTATTGTCCATAACTTGTCTGGCTATGAACCATAACTTGACAAGTTTATCCATAACTTATTTAGTCATGAACCATAACTTGACAAGTTATAGCCTATTAATTTCTATAACTAAAAATTGGTCTTTATACTTTCTTAAGCTTTTCATATTGGCCTATTTTCACTGTAGCAAAAAAAGTTAAATGTGACTTTTTATGAGAACTTTTAACTAGAGCAAAATTGAAATTAAAAACTCGAATTGTTGAATAAACGAGCCTAAAAAACTCCCAAATAATAATTTTAAGAGCTCTGTAACAGAACAAACAAATTCTAAATTTCTTAAAGGA